AGTATTCAATAAAACAAATCTTTTATTTAGTTCCTGACAGGTAATTAAAATGTACCTCTACATTTTCTTGTCTGTTACTGTAGGAAAACTAATATCAAAGATTTCTGGAGTTTACAAGTATTCGCAAATATATTGCAACTTAATTTTATCTTTTGGGTTGAAAACCTGGTACTAACTGGAAATCTTTAGTTACTGGAAAATTTGAATCCTGTTTGGCATTCTAAGCCTAACATTTCTTTTATACTACAAAAATTTACTCTCAGCTTCAAAGACCCTGTGTCCCGTTTGCACATTTTTCAAAGTAATAGATGGTGGATAAAGCCAAATATGTAGAAAAACAGCTACTAGAAGCAGAATAAATTTACAGAAAAATAAAAATAAATATTCTTAACATTCCTGAAAATATTTGGGAGACAGGGAGAAGGTGCCCATGAAGGTTAAAGTACTATGATTTTTTTTTTAGTTCTTAGTTGTCTATTAAGTTGTTTTTATTTCAAGTGTCTGAGATTTTTCTAGGTACTGTTCCACAAAAGACCATTCAGTTCTGCAGTCTCTTCAATATATATATTTTAGAAGTTTTAGAAGACAGCACCTGTGAATGCGAAAAAAAAAAAAAAAGCAAGAGACACACTTCTCTTTACTGCTGACATGCTACCTGGATCAGTATGGCTAAATCAGAAACTTTCAGTCTTTGTATTTTTACAGGATTGTATATGGTGGCACCATGGGGTTGGATTTCACAGCTGGAGATCATATAAAGAATAAGTTGCATTTTACCAGACTTACTCTTTTTCTTTTTTTTTTTTTTTTTCCCCATATATCGTTGCAGTCTCTTGCCCCTGCAATATTTTAGTAACCCACTACAGAATATGGTGACCAGTAGATCTACCGGATCTGTAGCAAAAGGCCAGAATCATTAACTTATATAGGAAGCTACCTCTATGCTATTCTTTGTGTGTCTCCCAGACATGGAGAAAAATTGCTTTGGGAAGGGCTTAATCAATTAAACTGATTAAGCTAGTAACAATGATTGGCCATAGCTTGGCATGTGGTAACTTTGGGATGTATTTCTCATACCTGCTTCATCATTTTGGCTACAATTGCCCGACTGCATGGATAACCAACTACCTTGTTCTTTGTGGATGCCTCCCTACAGTTACCTAAAACCATTGTAATTTTCCTTTGATCAGGCATACTTAATGAAATACAAATCTTCATGTGTGTTGGGTGGATCTTCCTGTTAGTTCCATTTGTATAAGGCCATGATATATTCTACAGTTCTGGGCCAGCTTGGTGCTATTGGAGGATGTTTAATGGGCACAAAGGCTGGGCGTACTGGGGTTATAAGAGATACTGCTGGATAAAACAGAGCTGGGAGAAACAGGGTTTCCTAACACAGTATGGGAATGCTGTATGAAGAGACTTTTGCCTTCCAGATGGCCATGTCTAAACAGAGGCAGCAGTGTCCAAAGGGTGAGGATATCAACTTCACAAGGGTTGCCAGCTTGGGCTGTTGACTGTTGCGGGTCTGTTGAGTAACGTGACAAGCTATAGCTATCACTTTACACACCAAATGCATTTTGGTCCCATGCTGAGGCTTGACATCAGGCAATGGGCTTATGTTTTATGAGTATTAAAATGTCATAGCTTTAGTACTAACTTGTACAATTTCTGGTATAACTCCCCCACCCTCACTTCTTCTTTTATGTTAGAGTTAGAAGAATGGTTACAATCTTTATTGTCCCTTAAAAATGAGCTTGGAGACATTATTATAGAAATGGGGTAATCTCAACAGAATGATAAGATTTGCAGTATTACTGATGGGCTCAGCTAAGCCAATAAAATTCTAGAAAAAAGGCCTAAGCTGCAGGAATTTGCAGGGGTTTATGAGTTCTTGGCACAATTGGGAGTAACTGTTTCCATGAATGGCTGTTTTATCAAAAAAGAAAAAATTAGAGTTATGAGCACAAAATGTTTGCTAGAGTGGAAAAGGCCCTAATTTCTGGAGTCCTCTTGGCTCTATCTGTTGTCAATGCTAATCACACTGAGAAGGTCATCTCTTTATTACCATAATATCGTATTTACAGCATGCATAAATACAGATCTTTTCATATTAAGCTTGATAGCCTCTTTGAACCTGTCTTTTATCTATCACTCTTAAGTTATAACCCGCATATTGCATTTGCACATACTGCAACAAATTTATGTGTTTTATAAACCTAACAGATTGCCTTGTGTACTGATTGATGGAAAATCAGTTGCTCGGTTGCCAGGCAATGATTGATTTTCCAGCACAGCTGCTCCAGCTGTGCTGCAGATGCTGTTTTTTCTCAGATATCATAAATGGTGTTGTAAGGTATTGAATATGATCCTAAATTGTATGGATTGCTGAAAAATCAGACATTTCAGTACTAAATGGCCATTTGATCATTATCTTCAGCTATGTTTTCTGTTTTTGTCTAGTAAAGCTGAAATTAGCTGTGCTGCTTGGAGGTTGCTTTGGTCTATTTTTTAAGAAGCTGGTTTGAAATCTATGACATAAGTAAATGCTTGTCACTAAAAATTACAGTTCACTACAAAATACTGTAGCCATTAGCATGTGCTGATGACAGCAAGCCTTTTTCCTGGAATGCATTTTGGATTCCAGTGTTTTATTTCAAATCTTGCTCAGCTGTGTATGACTAATAAATAATAGAGGAAAGAATAACTCAACAGAAAATTTGCAGGCCTTCTTTTGATCTGGGGAAGCAGATTTTAGTTGCTCAGCATTCTTTTAGATGACCTTCATAATTTAGTTGTAGGCTGTGATTTGGCTCTGCTATCCATTTACACAGCAGCATAAAATATTAAAGTCAAGCAATATCAATAATTCATACTCTTATGGCATCAGGGATATCAGTGAGAGGGAACATTTGGAATTGCTAAAATTAAAAGTGCAAATCTCCTTAAAGTGCAAGTGCAACCTTAAAGCTTTTAATGCTCATTATGAGAGAGGAAATTAAGCCAAGTTTCATATTCCATGGAAAGAGGAGCAGTAGTTTGTAGGTGTCCTGTTATTTGTACATTAGCCTCCTATTCACAACAGGGTAATGTGTCTCCTTGCTAAAAAAGACTTGTTGGCAGACTGGGTTCTTTTCCCTACCTTTTTCAAGAAAAGTACTTCTCACTGCTTTCTCCCTGGTATGAAATTTGATTCTTCTTAAAGAGCCAGTTTCTACTGATATTGACAGTGTTGCAAAGCAGAGAGAACTAAAGCATAGTCTGGCTTCTACACCTGGTTTTGCCACTGCCTTGTGGGCAAATCCCTTTGGTGTTCTGCATTTAATTAAATGTTTCTCAGAGGTTTTGTTCAGTGTCTAGTCCCAAAATCCTGAGATTTCAGTGAGTCAAAGCACAGAAACAGTATCAATAGGAATCTAAAATGCAATTCATTCCATCTCCATCTTCTAGAACATGATATTTTCCTTGGGGTTTTCTCTTTAAAAGTAATTTGATGTCTACTTTGTCCAGTCTTGCCTTCTAATAAATATATGTCTGAATGGTATAAAATGATAGATGATTTAATAGTCTGGTATACTTCCATGCAATAATTTTTGGAATAGTCATTTATACTTGCCTTCTGCATTAAGGCAGTATCCTCATGCACATCCATTTCTTCAAAGCTGATATTCTTCCAAAACAGCAATAAAAAGCCTCTCCACTTTTTAGGTAATTGATACCTTTCAAAGCTAGTCTGCTAGAGACATGTTTGGATAAATTTACGCTTTCCTTCTGTAAGCTTTCTCTTTCTACTGCCTTCTCCTTCAAGAGAAAAGGGTCACCTCTACTTTTCCTTTGGTAGCTTCTCAGCTTTTCAGCATCTTGCAATTTTAGATGCAACTATAGGAGAAAGAGTCCAAATTCCCAGTGGAGTTGCTAGTTTTTACTTAAGCAAGGATGTCCTTCTAACTTAAATATTTCCCTCTTTCCATATAGCTGGTACTGAGTGGCTCTTTCATTTTAGGTTTTCTGTTACTGTCAAGGAGGCTGCAAGCTGTACTCACTGCACAGAAATTAGAAAAAACATGGTTAACAGTTGCAGTTGTGTGACGATATCTGGGCAAACACTGAAAATAAAGATGAGCTGTGGCATGAGTTGTCTTCATGTAAGTTTGTGTGTACTCATGTCAGACATTCAACAGCAAGATTCACCTTTTAAATTCAGGTTTGTTTCAGAAACATGGGTAAGCTGTAGGATTGGGCTGTGAGTAGATGGCTTTGGCAGCCATATGAACAAACAGCCTGGTTCTTCTGGTTTGTAGGAGAACCCAGACAGAAGTGATGGTAGCACTGCCATTTAGTATGTAATATTGATATTGCAAGGCAATAAGGTAAAATGAGATCCTTTCCATTGCTACATGTCCTGTTGGTACATGAAAGAAATTGCAAACAGCGGATGAGGATATGTTAGGGGTACTTTGATCTCTTCAGTGAATGCTGTGGATTAGCTTTGGTTACTTAGGGGAAAGCAGATTTTTAAGAGAAGAGCTTTGTTTTCCTGAGTCTGTGATTAATTTTTGCCCCTTCTGTAACACTTCCCTGAACCTCTCTGCTATTTTGCTGTGAGTGAGGACTTAGAGAACTGACCCTTTGGTTGTTTCGGTTTCCTCTTGGTAGAAGTGCTGCTCTCGCTTTTTAGAGGGGGTTGCAAACAGCTGTTTCCTGGCAATAGAAGTAGTTTTCACTGTGGTCTCCTGATCCACAGGAATGTGTGAGAGACAGGTCATCATACAACTTGACTTCAACTCCCATATCAAGTCTGGAATCATTTTATGCCCATGTCTGGTAAATGACACAGCATTCTACTTTCAGCGGAGTTCCATTAGGATTTGGCTCTGGGGTGCATGTGGCATTCTTAATGCTTCCAAGATATGTCTCATCTTCTTTTAAAATTTTATGTATTACAACATTCTTGGAATTTTTTTCATAATCTTTTTCTATTCTTTGCTATCTTTTTCCAGTTGCCAAGTAATGAGGCCATCATAATGGTAAGGATATCCCAGTACAGCTTTTGCTGTGGAAACTGTGGGAAGAAAACCCTTGCTATTCCTCTTGAATGCTGCTTACTAGACCAAGCGTTGATACCTTGCTTAACTATGTAAGTCATTACTCAGTGCTTTGTCCCCTGCTTAGAAATTTTCAAAACTGCCATTCTCCTTTTCTTGATCACATATAATACATCTAGTTCCTTAGCCTGAGTTATATAGGTGTGATGAATATTACTAAAAAGACCATGTTTTTCCCCCTTTTCTTTAGACCATTCAGATCACATCATGTGAAAGACCTACCACTACCCTCATTTGCCACCACAGAAACTTTGTGTTGAACTTTAAAGCATCAAAGTGATTCTGGAAATAAATGCCCCATATCTCGTAATCTCATGAAAGAACATAAATTCATAATCTCATGAAAGAACTAAAACTTCAACTGTGTTCCTTTTATTTAAAAAGGGTTTCACTTTCTTCTTTTAAATTAAACTGCAAATTACAAACATGTCATAGTGTTTTCCCTTTCCCCCCCACACCAGACTAAGCAGAGGATACAAGCTACCTCCAGCTCCCACCCCTCCTCCTATTCCTTCTGGGATTTGTGACACTGGAGATATGTGGTGAATGCTGAGGAAATTGCCCAAAGAGATGTTGGAGTAATTCCCCTTCATTTTAGTAATAAAGGTTGCATATGTTTTATGAGAATAGCACCCCTGCAGTAGAGAAAACTACTGTGATCCATCACTTTAAATCAAGAAATCATTTGACACGTTTATTTCCTGAACAGGAAGTGTTCTGTCAGATCAGCTGGAAACTCTGAAATTTGTACGTTAAGATGAAAGTCAAAATAGCAGATGCTGTTATTTTACTGGTCCAGTTCCATTTTCCTAGGAAGGCCACTCTACCACTGGGCTGCTGAAGATCTATTTCTTTCCTTTCAGAATGTATATGTCTGAAGAAAATTATTAAAATTGGCATAGGGACTGCAGTTAGTCATTTTTAGAGGATTGTTTATCTGATCATTATATGATAAAATCTGATCCAAAATAGAAATATACTTCAAATGTGTCATATATAAAAGTGGTCTTGGCAGAAAAAAAAGAAGTGAGAAAATTTGCCATGTTATTTTAATCAGAGAGTTGTAAAATATATTTTGCAAATTTGATGCAGACTGTAGTTGACTCGTAAGTGTATACTCAGCAAGACCAAAACTGGACACTCTAAAGAGCACTGGTATGCAGGGAGATGGAAAGGATAGCCAACTGCACTTACTTTGAAGACATCTATTGCACAAGAACCTTTCTGTTTAGATTGTGGGCATCAAAGGGGCTCCCAGCCAAACTGTTAGTTGTACATGTGTAAGAACTGACTGAGTGTTCTTAGATTAGTCAACTGCAGCTCAAACATTACTGATATAAAACCTATGCTGGAGATGTGTAAGCCTTGCATGCCAGCTGTGTTTTTATTGGCCTTCTGCAACTTCAAAGGCTTTCCTGCTCTAAAGCCCAGGCAGGTACCCTGGGCTGCCCTCAAACCTGCCTTTCCTGGCTTATTGATTCTCAACGTGGCTTTACCTACTAGTCAAGCTATTTGTTTTCAGTGTGCAATCTCTTGAAAATATGTTCCTATTGAGCTGCTCAAAATCTAAAAAAATTTTGTGTCATTAATAAATATGCATTGCTGTTTTCCCCTTTCTTTGGCTTCTGTTATTTCACCTGTCACGGAGATCTGTGTAAGTAACAGATGCCTGAAGTATTTTGACAGGTTGTTTGTTTCTGTTTTTAGCATAAAACTCATGTGATGACAAGCAGACAGTAAAAAGAGATTTACCCCAAATGTGCTAGAGCCTCTCTTTTCCTTTTCCCTCTCCCATTTGAAAATTAACTTTACTGTTATTATTTTGGCACGTGTCTTGCTTAAAAAAATCCCCTCCCTGGCAAGGTGAGGGGGATTCTGGTCTTCCTTCTTTTTGAACAGGTGCTCTTTGGCAAGATTCTTTATGTGGTCAAGAAGAAATATAACTGTGTCTAGGAGTATTGTTGACTGTATGCGGTCTGTCAGTCATCTTGAACATACAACTGTAGAACATCCTGAACAGCTGAGAAGAAATCCCTGAAATATCTGAAATGCTCCTTAAAGTCAAGCACAGCAGGTATGTCTTGAAATGAATTTGAAAAGTTCGTCTTCAGTTTTCTGTGAGTATCAAAAACAAAGATATTGAAGCATGACGGTGCCTAAATTTGCCTTAGCTTTTTTTTGGTGTGAGATACTCAATAGAATGACTCAGTTATTTCAGACAATGGCCCTGAATTTTAGTACTTAAGATATCTAATAATTAGGTAAATCTAATATTCTGCTGGTACTGTTGGAGAAGTAAATTAAGTTGATTACCATATAAGAGGAACTATTTTATTTTTAAGTTTTCATTTAGAAATATGTGTCTTTTATCTTTATTTGATCTTTGCCTGCATGACCAACATTTCAGTGAATCTCCCTATGGTCAGCAGCACCTCACAATCGGGTTTTGTAAATTCAGTCATGCCTGTGTATCTGCATCACTTTGGAGCCTTGTAACATGTTCATACAATGCAGTGGAACAGGATTTAGAGATGTTCCAAGGAACAACACTGAAGAACCAGATGGAAAATTGCCACACGTGACTCAAATAATCCATTTTCACACAGAAAGATGGTTGCTGTCATATGGTACTAGCCCAAACATTTTATTTACAGTACTGTGGATGTACTCATATGGGCAGGTAGTACCTGAAACATTCCACTGACATAATTCTGCCCCTCAGAGTGCAACTCTCTGTACTAAGGCCTGTCCTTTTTTACACCAAAGCAGCAGCTAGTCAGATGGGGCTCTAAGCTGGGCTTTGGATACTCTTATAAAATGGTGTAGTAAAGACCTGGTTGTTGAAACTGAAAAATACATTAAGCATCCAACTGAATTTCCTCATTGTTCCTTATTCTTACTAATAAAAACTTGGCAAAACAGCAGTGTATCTGCTTTTCTGAAGTTTTTGTCCTAAAATCTGAGGATTAAGGTATAAGTGATGAAGGTTTGTATGACTACAAAGAACGTCTTTGCTCCATGTTTTCAGATGAACTGTCCCCTGCCTGATTAAGTGTCAGGACTGTAGGTGGACCGCAAGATGCTGAAATTCATTTCTACCCAAATATGTTTAATGCTCATTTTCAGGCATAAGCCTGCAGATAAAATCAGTTCAAAATCCGTAAGTCAACATGGCAGAGAGATTTCAGGGCAGCCTACCTGTCTGGACAATAGTGGGGGAAAAGTCCTTTGAAGTCACAGACAGCCAATAAAAATGCAGCTGGCATTCAAATCTTAAACAACTCCAGCACTGATTTTTTACATCGCTGGCACTTCAGTGAAGGCTGAAAATTTTCAGAAAGCGCCTTTGAACACTGGTCCATAGTGAGCTTGTGTACTCTGCAGTATGACCAAACTTCATCACCCTTGTTTTCTTCACAATAAAAATAATTTGTGGAAAGCTCTGTGCTGCTGTCTTGCTCAGGGGTAAACATGACAAGATCCTGGATGTCCTGCATGGTTTCCTCTCTGCAGTATAGGACACCAGATGAAGAGTTCCAGAAGGTCTGTTTGGGCCAAAGCTGGGCAGTCACCCAGGAAAGGAAGAGTGAAATTCCTGCTGACATCTTGGAAGTGGGGTCAAGCATTTCATAGGCTCATACAAGTGAATATTTTTGAGTCATAGAACCTTAAAATCATTTAGGTTGGAAAAGATCTGAAAGATCACAAAGTCCAACCCTTAACCCAGCACTGCTAAGTCCACCACTAAACAGTGTTCCTAGGTGCCTCATCTACACGTTTTGTTTTCTTTTCCATTTGTAAATTGCCTGACCTTTCTCTCTCTTTGCAGGGTGGCTCTGGGGAAGCCACTTGGTACAAAAAGTCAGGGGGGAGCTGAGCTCCACTTCCCTTGGCCTGCAGGAGGAACTGGAAGAGTTGATGTGCTCTGTCTCTGTTTCGACCCCTTGGTGAATGCAAATTCTTTCCAGAGAAAGAATTTGTACAGCCTCTAGCAAAATGATACAGGGGTTTCTGAGCTTACTGGCAGAACTGGAATGCAAAGATGGATGAATGAAGTTGGTATGGCTGGCTGTCAAAATTCAAAATAGCCCCCCAGCTTTCTGAATTATCCATGTTTATTGGTTCTTGAAAGAGAAAAAATTAAGACAGACATATTAGATACCCTTAAGAACTTAGTTAATTTTGCCTCTCTACTTGGTAGAATGTGATGTGTTTTCTCCCAACCCCAGATGGACTTACATACTGTGTTTCTGTCTTATAAAGCTATTTCAAGGAATCCCAAGTAGCCTTTTTTTTTCCTGTGGACAGGCTTAAGGGTGGGAGAGGGGGACAGTGGGCAAGAGTGGGGACATAAAGTTGTTCTTTTGTTGTAACAGGATCATGGTATGGAAATGGTTGACAACCGCTGCAATTGGATTTTACAGGGAAATTTGAATTATCACACTAAAAGAGAACCCATTTTTGCATTCACAAGTCCTGAAATAGCATGTCATGGGTGTGAGCACAGAGCATTGCCTGTGCTTGGCCTCAGGTTAAGCTAATTTGGGGGAATGATAGATAGAATTTTATTGCTGACATTTGCTTTGTTTGGGTTTGTTTTTTTTTTATGACAGCTGTTAGCAGCTGCTTCATGGTTTGGAGGGCTAGAAGTAGCCTAAGCAGAGCTAGACCTGTGAGTAGAGTTCAGGTACAGCAGGAGTCAAAAATGGACAAGGCTGTGCCACTTTGTCTGAGTAGCCCAGTATGTGTGTGAGTGAGCAGTATAGTCAGTTTACTTGAGCAACCCTGCCCATGCCAAAGGGTTTGGAATGAGATGATCTCTAAGATCCCTTCCAACACAAACCATTCTATGATTCTATGATTTCCAGATAATTTATGCTTTTATCCAACTATAGAGCACATAATAAAAAAATAAACCTCTCCTTAAAAATGTTTGCAGCTGTTTAGATGTTCTCCTCTGGCTTTTTTTCTTTCCATTTGCAAACTTCCTGTGTTTCCCATGTAGTTCAGAGTTCTTTGAGAAAGAAAGTACATCTGAAATGTTGTAGCCAGTTCAGCACCTCACAAAGAAGATCAGCTTCAGCTTAGCACAATTCTGGTGGGGAAAATATCTTCACACTGTGTTAAAGCCTCACCTGATTACATTCTAATTTTGAGTAGTCTGAAGAAATTATAGAAGAAAAATTGAGCATTGCTAATTAGAAATGGTATGCTTTGCTAGCCTGGTAAAATCTTGCTATTCTAAATAAATGCATCAAACATTGGATTAAGAGTGTAGAAAAGCATACATGTTCAAATCTTAAACACATCATAATTTTAAGTGTCCGCAAGTGTTTAAAAAGTGTTGGTAGGAATGAGCACATATATCCATTCACTAGTTAAATATCATAACCTGTTTCTTTTCTAAACACATGCGCAAGGGAACAGAACACATTTAAGATGTTAAACACATTGACATGTTTACAATGTGTTGCAAGAGAGTGTTTAACTTCTTGTGCTCCAAAGCTAAACACTTTGGAATTAGAGGGTTTGCTAATTCTGCTTTTATTCAATCACTTACTGACACTTATTGGATAAAGTTTGAATGGATTCAGAGGAGATTAAAAAAATTTATCGGAGAGGGAGAAACATTTTGGCTTTGGAACTCTAAGGGAAAAAGATGTGAGTTAATAGTTTGCAGTGTTTTGTGGTTTATGCATATGTCCCAGTGAGCAAATAATAAAAAAAAAATTGACCTGAGATTTATGAACTGTCCCATATCTGGTTCATGTAAATACAAGTACTGATCATTAGTTCAAATTAGAGGTCAAATTAGAATTCATTTACAAGGTGCATTAAAAATAAGCCTTAAAAAATAAAGTCAAGACTTAAGTAAAACACTATCTCATTGGCCTCCAAGATCACAAAACTAATTCTAGGATTCCTGGATCAGTAGAATTGGCATGGCAGCACGGTGAGGGCAGGGTGGGAAAAGGCATACCGCTAACCTGTTCAGGTGGCATTTTTAAAGTATGCTGTTCTGACCTGGTTTTCTGTTTTCTTGACCCAGATGTGAGGCTTTAGGTAGTTTAACTTCCAATTAACATGAGACCAAAGATAAGTGAATCTGAATCGATGGAAGCTGCTGTGGGGGATGCTGGACTGAAGCCCTTTTAGTGATGAAGGTGCACTCTGCCCTTTCTGATGTGAGCTTCCTGGAGCTGTGTGATGCTGGGCAGTTGCAGAAGCTGCAGATTGGTGACTTGTCAGACATCACAAACAGACCAAGGGGTTCAGCCACACTGCAGGGAATGGCATGGTTACCTGCACTGACTCCACATGTAAAATAACAAAAAACCTGAGTGAAAGAATGGAGCTCTTTAAAGCCACCAGAAATGGGAACTCTCCAGAAACATAGAGGGTAGCTGAAGCAGCTTAAACAGCACTTTGCTTTAGGCAACAGGTGCCCTGGCGAGGGAAGGCAATTAGAAGATAACCTTGTTGCTGACATCCTTTCTCATCTTTTTCATGGGATTAATGCAATTTGGGCAGAGAACAGCACTAACTCTGTATAGCACATATTTGGGAAGTGCTGCATTCCCCAGTACCCCTCCTCCCAACAATGAGAATGATGTATTTCAAATGGAGATTATGAAAACAAAAGCGAAAAATCAGTGTAACTGATCTAAGGTTAAGAGCTGCATTTGGGAAGCTAAGGCTACATTTAAACTGACGATGGATGCTCTCACAAGAGGGGTCCATCCAGCTGTAATGCGTGGTTTTCTTCCTATAGATGTAGTGTGTATTCTTGGTAAGACACAAGGTAACTCAGGGTCTAATAGAAAAAGCCAGGATTATAAAAGATATCTGAGGTTAAAAGGCAGTTCCAAAGGCAACAGAAATCAATGGATAACAGAATAAGCATAGCATGTTGAATTGATGATGACAAAATACTTAAAATTTCAAGGGAGCTCTTCATAGGATCAGCAAGCAGTGTTGCATCAAGAAAATTACTTTCATTTTGGAGTAAATGAACATTTTAAATTCTGTTTTGGATACAAGTGAATGAAGTAAGACAACACTTGTGTAATACCAGAAAAAAAACATAACTTTTGGTTAAGAGGCATGGCAGTCTTCAGAAAATGAAAACTAGTAGTAAATAATAACTTGGAAAACTGCAATTTATAAAAAGAAAGGCAGAAAAACGTTAGTTACTGAAAGTATGTCTAAGCTTTTGTTTCATGGAGAGCTCCATCAGTGCAGTGGATGGGAACAGAATTTTCTCTGATCAAATTGGAGACTAGGTGTGTATGAGCCACTAAATGAGCCACTAGATAAAAGCAGTTGTCAAAGTGCTTATATAGCTGATGCTTACATACACAAATTTCTGTCACTTCTCTCCTTCATGGAAATGCAGGGGTTCTTTTGAGCCCCTTAGGTATTATTTTCATGCTGAATAACAAACCAGGGAGAGCTTCTGTGTTACAGAAGACTTCTACTAAGCAATTCACATGTATATATGTGAGTATCTACCACTTCTAGTTCAACTTCAAGTTAAATAAGGACTGATGTTGCAACTGCAGAGGATGGGACTTAGAGCCCAAAGGTAGGAATTTTGTTACAGGAAAATGCATAGGAAAAAACACATTAAGGTAATTTAAGGATTGGAAAACCTCAGAGAAAGGCCAAAAGTGCTTTTTACTGGCCTCAAATAACAGTCACTGAGGAAGTCATGCAGGCCTATCTCTGGTGTTAAAAATATAAACCAAGTGAAGTGGCCTGTGTTGATGGTCTAGGAAAAACTGGCTTCTGAAGCAAAGTAGGTGGGTTTGTTTGCCTTGGCTAAGATCACATGTATGTTCTAGAATATAACTCTGCTTTGATGTGATGGCTTCACTGCTGTGTGTACTTCAGCAGAAGGCTGTGTGCTTTGATTGCATTTTCATTAGATGCAGTAGTTATAAGGTGACCTGACTGAGCCACGGCTTGTTTATCCCTAAAGTGCAGCCACCACTCCATGTTATTCCCAGTCCCCAGACTAGTACAAGTAAATGCACAATAAAGCTTCTACTGAAAATGGTTCCAGGGTCAGATTCTGGCAGTTCTTTAGCAGAGCAGAAGGACAGAATGGTGCTAGTGAAGGATGGGGTTGCCTCTGCTGACATAGGACAGTTGCCTTCACTGACATGAAGCATCGTAAGCAACTGATGGTGCCACGAGAGGTTTGCCAAATGTATGGGGAGTCAATGTGACAAAGCAAAAACTTGGGATTCAAGACCCCTGAATCAACACGTCTTTTTTGAAAAAAGATCCCCACTATATTCACCATAGTGACAGTAGGCACACTTTCAGTTGACACATTCAGGAGCAGGGAATAAGCAAACACTCTTCGTAGCACTAAGAAGGAGGAAAGCAAGGACAAGTGGAGCAGGATTAGGCAACCTGACCCAGGCAGCTGATGCACACCAATTTTACTGTTGTGAGGTGTTTCAGAGAAGCAAAGATTTAGTTTCAGATAAGCATTGTTAAAGTGGAGGCAGGGCTGAAATGCCCAGCTAGTGTGAATTTTGACTTCCAGCTTTGGGGGATGGGCCGTGTGAGGCCTGGATGAAGTTACCCCACCCCAAACCCCTTGTGAAGGGCAGCCCAGGCGTTCTGATTGGGTTTGAGCCCCTGGAGTTTCTCCCTTGCTGTGTTTCTAGTGGTCCCTGACCCTGAACTCCACCCTTAAAGGTGGAGATCCTCAAGGGTTCTGTCCCTCAAAACCCTGCCTTTGTTCAGGGCTTTTCTGTCTGTGGATGTGAGTTCATTCCCATGCTGAATAAATGGTTTCATGAACAGAAGCCCGTCTCGTTCCTGTCCCATGCTGGTTCCCAGTAACTGTAGCTTCTCTGGACATGATCCTGTGGTTGCTGACTACAACATTTTACAAGGAAGATGGTATATATGTTGTTTGGGTGCATTGTGTTTTTTTCCCATGACCGACAACAGGAATTCAAACATGGGATGGCAAAAACCTTTCTCAGACTCCTGGGCTCACACTGTTTGCTGATATTTATGCCTGATGTTCATGCTTTGGGGAAAGCGGTGAAAACAGAAGCCTTGCACTTACCTGGCACAGCCTGGTACTGCTTCTTGCAGCTTGTGATTTTCAGATGCTTGTTCTGTTTTCTCCTTTTCTGAGAACTCTTCCTGCAGAGGGCAGATCATGAGTGATTGGTATTTGCTGAGCCTTGGGCCATTGAGTTTAGGTCAATTCAGTATTTAACTGCAGTACACTTTGGTTAATGGTATTGCCCAGCTAGTTCTACTCTCTCTGGAGACACGTCTGATCTAACATTTTCTTACTCAAAGGGAACACTGGAACAGTGTTGGTCAGGCTTCATCTGTTTGGCCTGCAGGAGGTTGCCTTGGGTTTGCGAGAGGATGCTGAAACCTGTCCCCGTGTGGCTGGCAGCTGGTAGTCACTGTGACATGCTGTCAAAGGTTTTGGTATCACCAGAAACCCTACATTTTTTTTCATACTCTTTTCAGGTATTTCTGCTGGCACAGAATTGATAAGAGGTGCAAATCAATATAAAGAAGCATATGGGAAATTTTTGCTTCAGTGGAAGATTTTCTAGTAGGAAATGTGTCAGTGACACTGCTAATTAAGATGTTACTTTCATCTCCTTCACTGTTTGCCTATATAACAGGTTTGAAGAAAACTTTAGCATCTAAACATATGGGCATTAGTTTGGGAAGCAAAAAGTTATGTGTATCAATACAGAACAATGTGGATGATGTTAAAAGCAGTGGGGATGACTGACTTGCTAGTAGTTGGCAGGACTAATTTCCGAGGAAGCAAGGGAGCTTTGATTTTTTTATTTGCCTTAGCAAAATTAAAGCAGTAGAAATGCATTACAAGAATCATTAACTTCCTGAGTTTCATAATTTTCCTGAAGCTGCACATGATCTTTCTATGAAGAAGGGTTTTTGTGTGAGTGAGGGAGGGAAAGGAAAGGAATATGACAACTTGAAGTTTATTTCTTAGTTATGTGAGAAGTCAGCCAAAAAATTGTATTTCCCCTCAAGACCGTAAGGCTAGATCTACAGGGAGTTATAAGACAGGTCCCATTTATCTAATTTTTATTTTATAACTTTGAATAATTACCAATTACTAACTAATAATTACTAATAATTACTAATTAATTACTAATATTTTTTTTATCTATATATTTTTAATTATTTACCTCTTTTCTGTTCACTTGATGGTAAGGTTTGGGGTCTTTTTGGTTGAAATTGTTCCCTCTCCAGAATGAATCTTAGGACTCTTAGTAAGCTCTGCTAAAGCAGTCTAAAGTTCCTTTAGTCTTTAGGATTTAAATGGAGCCAAGACTGGACTCATCTGTGGCTCTCTCTGTTTACCCTCATGATTGGTGTATTTCAGAGAACAGAAGTGGTACATTTCCAATCACTTCCCACTCACAAGGGAGGAGAGAGAAGTAGAAAAGGACAAAGCAGGATATGAAGGGGAGACATGTGTTATAAATGCATACTATATTTCACAAGTATTAAGATGAATGTTATATGTAAAATGTTAGAATGGCTTTTTTGTGTGAATGTAGTTTGTTTTTTTTTCTCCTGCTGTTAACAAAAATTTAGGTAATTGTTGATATAGTATGTTTGAACTGCCTGCTGGTTAGGATAACCTCCAGTGAACAGAAGATGGAGACTCTGCTGATTATCAACACTCACCGCCTGTGGAAAGAAAGAGCCAAGGCCCAGATTAAAAGGTGATAAGAAGAGGATTAAAACCACAAGCCAAGAAATGTGCATGCTCCAAAAATGCAGATCCAAGGAGCAGCCATGCAAAATAGTTCCTGGAAGATGTAAACTAGTTAATGAAAAAGTTTGAATATGCATAAAGTTTATGAATATGCATCAAGGTGATGCAATAGAAATGGTATATAAAAGGTGTTCCCTAAACACCAGATATGCTCTTGGCAGAGCACCAAGCACCCAGCCATTATTCTTTGCTTTATTATCTGTGTCTCTTATTGTCTTTATTAAACCATTTAAATTTTACCAGGAGTCTGAACCTCATTTTTCACATAGGAAACCTGGGTTCACTTCCTTTCTCTGCACCAGGGATGTGTGGGCAAGTAACATTTTCCCTCTCTGTCTTCCTTCCTGCAGTGTTGCCTCCAGAGGAGCACTGTGAGAACAAACTTTAAGCAGCTATGAAATGCTTTTTAGACACTATGGTGGAGAACAGGTAAACAAAACATCTACAGGACACATGTTTATGCTTCCCTCCAGTCCTTAGTGACATTAAGGGTTGGTCTCTGTGCACAAAATCAAAAGTCCTTTGACCCTGGTGGCTATGCATGGAGGCAATAGATGAGAGAGGATTGTCTCCTTTCTGTGGCCTCTGCAGGCACCTTGTCTTTCGAGGCTGTCCTTTGAGGCTGGTTACCATTTGCTTCCTGAAAGTTTCTGACTGGTGTCTTCATGATGGCTGCAAGCTGTTAGCTTTACCCCTCCCTGTATAGTGTTCTGTTCCATTTCTGTTTTCCCAAGGCCACTTCTTTCAGGCTCTCTATTTTCTTCATGTCTCTCGCATAATTTTTTTTCACTTAGCAGCTGATCCTCTCCCACATGTTGCTTTTGGAGGGGACAGAGCATTGTCTGTTCATGTACTGGCTACCAGTTGCCACCTAGAGGAACAGCTCTCCTGCAGTTCTGGGGCTGTACCACAGCAGAGTGCTGGGAAGGGGAGCAGGTAAAAGGGAGGGTGGGGGCAGCTGCTGGCTGGCTTGATTCTTCAGCTTCAGAGCAGGACACACTCAGAGCTGTTGTTGCTTGGGGAAAGGAATTTGCCATAAACCAGATGGAGCTGCTTCTTCTCCTTCTCCGTCTTGCACCCCCTGCCTGCTGGGACATTCTTCAGTGCCAGCCACCCCTGCGGAGCTGCTGATACACCTCAGCCACCGGCCCAGGATCTCAGCTCATCCCTGCTGTTCCAGCTGAGTGTTCCTCAGAGCCCTGCAGGAGCACCGGGACTGCCTGCCCGAGGGGGTTTGTGAAAACAAAGCCTCTCCTCCATCCTTTCCCGTCTCGGCCAAGGAGGCTGTCATGGGGTCCCTGGTTCTGTTTTGTTGCTAATGCTGTAGTTATTGTTGTTTGTTTGCCTGGTTATAAATACTAGTGAAGAACTGTTATTCCTATCCCCAGATCTCTGCCTGAGAGCCCTTGATTTCAAAATTATAGTAATTCGGAGGGAAGCGGTCTACATTTTCATTCCAAGGGAGCCTTCTGCCCTCCCTAGCCATAGGGATGTCTTCCAAACAGGGGCACAGAGCTGTCCCTGGTGTGAGATACTGCCTCTCCTGACTTGTGTATGTGCACACAGGCACTTCCAGAGCCATACACAAGCCAAGAGATGCACATGTTGGCCCCCTGTGCCAGAGACACTGTGTATTAGCAGCATCTTCTCCACTGGTGCTGTGATGAACTGGTCTTGGGTCAGAAAAACTTTCTGGTGTATCAGGTAGAAGGCTCAAATGAGGTGAGTTCACAGCTCCCATTCACTGTGCAGTTCCCCAAATATATATCTCAGTATAGCTCTGACTGTGCATCATAGCCCTGTGCAGATGAAGCTTTGTTATGAAGCCCCAGAGCACTAGAGGTTAGATAGCCACCTTTGCTTTTGTCACCTTCTTAATCAGTTTCTACCCATACACATTACTTGGGCATTTTTTTGATTTAAACCATTTATGGTTAAAGCCCACTCTGGAACTAAGTGCCTTTCCACTCCATTTATGTCACAGCAGGACTTCATAGTCTCAAGTTACATATTTTTCTCTGCTCTACCAGTGGTGTGGGTGTCATTTACACTCATCCAACAATTTACAGCCATTCTCTTATTGGCATAGAGTCAGCTCCCAGCTAATCGGCGCATCGGATTCAAGCACAGCTCCGAAGAGTTTGCATGGAACTAAGGAAGGCAGCGATGGGTTGTTACTTCAGTAGACTTACTGTGAATATAATGTCCTGTAACATATAAGAAAATGTGTGTTGTAGAGCAAAAGACATAAATTGTATACAAAATACACACAACATAAATTCCTTCTGAGCTGCTCATTTCACTCTTACACGACCTTGGGTAACTTGACCTTCTTAATTGCTGTATTTACAGTAGAAATTTGACACTGGACTGATTGCAAATGTATTTCTAATGGATTTTCCCCAGAGATATTTCATCAGAATCTAGTGAGAACCTTTTCATTGCTTTTTGTATTACTTGTAAAAATGCTCTTCTTAGAAGCAGCCAGTTTTAACAAAAAACTGTTTGCCTTTTCTTCCCTTTTGTTTCCTTGCTGGACTTTGTGTTTTTGGAATTTATTGTAATAATAATGGTATAAGCAGCTTGTTCCAAGAGACTCCTCTAACTTTGAAAAAGTAACTCACAGTAAATGGGGCCTTCAACTCTGGATGCCTTTAAGGTGGCAGTCAATCAGTTTGAATAAATAAGTAAAATAAAATTAATTAAGAAGTGGAGGGACCTGAAGGTGAGGAGTTGCAGCATTAAGACATTATTCTGTACCCTTTAAGGATAGAGGGCAGAGTTTATCCTCATCAACCTGCATGAAAAATTATTCTCCTGCTGGGAGCTCTGGGGGAGCCTTGTGGTGTGACACTGAAGAGTGTCAAAAATATAGTGGCGGAGGAGGATGGCTTTGGTACCAGTAGCAGCAATGAACCTGGGTACACTCTACCTGTTATATACCAAACCTATGTGGGGCCAAATTCTGCTCTCAGCTTTCCCTGTAAAACCAGAGAATTTACCATTTTCCCCAATAAAATCCCCATAAGCTTACACAATGTAGCCATGTTGCCGAGACCAAGAGTTTGGTTCCAGTCCAGAAGTGAGGAGCTCATAATGAACTTTAATTGTTTCAGCTGCTGCTGCTACAGCTTCCCAAGAGATTATAAGAAAGTGTGAAAATTATGAAATTATATAAAACACAAAATATATTAATAGGAATGTGTTGTTATGCAAGATATTTTTTCCCAGAATGTTTTTATTTATATGTGTGAATCCCCTTATCTGTATTAATTTATTCTTTATTATTTCCCCTAGAAAGATCCACAACCCCTTTTTGTTTAAAATCCTATTAGATGTCTAATCCTCTGTTTTTTTCAATCTCAGTCCACATCATTCATGTAAATCCCAAAGAAGTCTTAACTGACACAATGTTGAGAGGTTAAACATTGAGAAAATTTGAGACATTGAAAAATCATTAAATTTGGAAACATTAAACCATAAAAATTGTTACTGTTACTAATGTAGTTATCAAAATATTTTGATAGCAAACTTTGCTTGCTCTGATGTTAAGATTAATAAATATTCTTAATTTTACAATTTAAAACTGAATAAAACCCAACGTGCCTTTCTTGAAGCATATATTTTTTTTTTCAGTGTAATTCAGGGAAGTATGTTCTATGCCCATGTCACCTTTCAGAGTTTCTGGAGAAGAAATGGTTATTTAACATTGAGCATAATTGTACACTGATCATAAGATAAATGTCTTCTGTCAAATAGGACCATCCTGTAATGAAAGCTTCTTCAAATTTATTAAGACAGCTAGAGGGATTCATGCAACAGGATCCTGGGATGAAGACCACAGCTCAATTCTATGTATGAATGATACTTCCCTAACTTCTAATTTTCTAAAAATGGTTTCAAATGTAAGAGCCCAACCCTAAAAAGTGTGAAGTGTTTGCTGGAAACGTGGAAAGCACCTCCAATCCAATCTGGCTCAGTTACTAACAAGCTCACTCTGGATTCAGGATATGGGTGCTGTGCAGTAGCTGACTATTTTAATAACAAAAGCTTGTTGTGGAAAAACTGTACTGAGAGATTATTTAATCATAATAATGTTTTAAGATTTCCTTTTCAGGTCTGCAAATTAAAATTATTAACCTCTTAGTAAAACTTGAAGATAGATAGATAGATAGATAGATAGATAGATAGATAGATAGATAGATAGATAGATAGATAGGACCCCTTGGATTTTATAAATTTTAATATTAATTTTAGCATAAGAAATTAATATGATTCCAGGATGGTGGAAAAAAATGTTGGAATGTTTTCTTAAGTCAAAGGAAGTCAAATATGTGCATAAAGATCTCTATCTGCTAATCGGGTTTCTGGCTGCTTGAGATCTAATTTACTGCTGTTTCACTGCAGTGTTTACTGAAATACCATTAAGAAATCCACACAATGCCTTTGATTAAGGGCAGTCAAAGAGACACTAGCAGCAAACTTTCTTATTTTTTCAATGATCTAAGTGAAGAAATAAAGGTTAACTGAACAGGATGGAATTACTAGAGTTCAGGATTTCTCCCCTCCTTTCAAGTAGGGGTTGTGATCATATTTTCTGTTTTCTGCAATCTTAGATTAATGGATAATCTTGGCTCACCAAGGTCTATACTCTGGGTATTTCCTTCCCTCCTGACCATGACATCTAGTGTGTTTGTGCAGTCCTGCTGTGACTTGTTCACATTTTGGATAAACAAACCTTTTTCCTTGTTTTCTTTCTTCACTCTCCTTGTCTTTGAAAGGTCTCTTTAGCCTGACTGGAGCCATGGAATAGACCTACACATACTGTTGTAGAGCTTGGTGCTGGATTATAATTTTGTGTGTCTTGTACTGATGATACATCCTTTTGCCACCCACGTTTGTAACAAATTCAGCAGGCAAGTAAATGGTTCATGACAGTGAATCACAAGCATATTTTCTCTGAGAATCTGTAATAGTTTGGTGGTAAGTTTAGGAGAAATTAGTTCCTAAACTTAAGACTGAACCAAACCCCAAAACCATAGGAGTGGAAAAGTCTCAGTTTGGACTGTTGCCATTTTTGAAAGGAAGAATATGGGTCAATGTTCATGCTTCAGGATAGATTGGATAGATACTGTGTTCTAGGAGGAAGTATGCTTATAAAGGATTTTCCATAGTTATAAGCTAAGCATAAAACATAAAGTTATTCTACCCT